GCTATTCGCTCCGTGATCGCTCCAAAACTCATCGAACTGACGCAGTGGAAGATGCTGCTGCCTCTCCAGAGACTTCAGCCTACGCAGAGTATCAGAAACGGCAGGCCACTCGTGCCTCGAGGAGAAGCGCCACCGCCACCTCTGGCAGCAATCGACGACTCTTTTCTTTACGGGACATGGACTCGTCTCCCCCTCCACGCCGCCGTCGAAGTCGGGACCGAAGAAAATACAAACGAGGACGTCGGAGTCGCCATCGTCGATCACTGTCGTCCTCGTCGTCGGCTTCCTCGTCTTCCTCTGACGTGTACAAGGATGACGACGAATCGGACGGTGGAATGCGGACTAGCAGCCCGTGGCGCTCGTCCAAGAGCAGCAGGAAAGGCGGAAGATCACGCGCAGATATTACGCCAGTCGAGGTGGATCACAGCGTCACGTGGGACAGCGTGGGCGGGCTGGAATCACACATCGAAGCGCTGAAAGAGATGGTGATGCTTCCATTATTGTATCCAGAGTTTTATAAGAAGTACAACGTGTCTCCGCCGTCTGGAGTACTATTCTACGGACCCCCAGGCACTGGTAAGACACTGCTCGCCAGAGCGCTGGCCAATTCCTGCTCCTTCTACGGCGAAGGCGACCAGCCCAGTGGCTTTAAAGAAGCAGCGACTTCCTCGTTGAGCGAGAAGAAGAAGAAGGAGCAAGAGCGACCGAGGCGGCATGTGACGTTTTACATGCGGAAGGGAGCGGATTGTCTGAGTAAATGGGTGGGAGAAGCAGAGCGACAACTGCGTCTTTTATTCGAAGAAGCGAAGCGCAACCAGCCGTCGATCATTTTCTTTGATGAAATCGATGGCCTGGCTCCTGTGCGCAGCGCCAAACAAGACCAAATCCACGCGTCCATTGTCTCGACGTTGCTGGCCTTGATGGATGGAATGGATTCCCGAGGGCGCGTCGTTGTGATTGGCGCGACGAACCGACTGGATGCCATCGACCCGGCCTTGCGTCGTCCTGGGCGATTTGATCGCGAGCTAGGCTTCAAACTGCCGAGTGTGAACGAACGGAAGAGCATGCTGGCCATTCACACGAAACACTGGAACCCTCCTTTATCCGACGGATTTCGATCGGAACTCGCGGAGCAGACAGTGGGGTATTGTGGTGCTGACATCAAAGCGCTGTGTGCTGAGGCGGCCCTGTGCTCTCTGCGTCGCGTGTACCCTCAAGTGTACGCGAGTCACGACAAGCTGCTGATCAATCTGGACAAGGTGGTCGTAGCTCGTGGAGATTTCGTGAAAGCAGCGAAGAAGATCACGCCAGCTTCTCACCGCGCTGTCAGCTCCTTCGCATTGCCGCTACCACGAGCTGTTAAGGGATTACTACAAAGCCAACTGACGAAGGTGCTGCGAGATGTGGCGCGTCATTTCCCGCTCTTCCCGCTCGATAAGGCAGCGATTGACGACGCTATTACTACTGAGAGTGAAGAAGGTGCGGGCGTTCTAGAGGACGGAGAGGAGGACGAAGACGTGGACATTTATGCAGTGGCGAATCATAAAGACTGCGACGTTTGTCATGGAGAGGAAGGCGAGCTGCTCTGCTGTGGCGCCTGCCCTGGAGCTTTCCATCACGCGTGTCTCTCCGAGATGGCTACATCCTCTGCGGATGGCCTCTGGTTTTGTCTCGATTGTCGGAATTCCAACTCTGCAGCTGTGCAGAGAGCATTACAGCGAGGGAGAAAGAAGCTCGTGCACTCCATGGCGTCGCTTCATTTGCCTCGTCACTCGGGATTCCCTCGCGTTTTAATTGCGGGAAAAGCTGGCATGGGGCAGCAATACATTGGTCCAGCGCTCCTCCACTCGTTGGAAGGGTTGACGCACTTTTCGCTGGATTATCCTTCGCTGGTGGCCGACTCCAACTCGCATTTCCCTGAAGAAGCACTAATCCAACGGCTTAGTGAGGCCCAGAAGTGCCTACCGTGTGTGATTTACCTCCCTCACGCCGAGCTGTGGTGGAAGAACACGAGCGAGTCGATGCACTTGACGCTCAAGATGATGCTCATGAACCTGCAAGTTCGAGCCAATCTGCCCATCTTGTTCTTGGCGTGTACAGCGTCCTCGTCTGACGAGCAGACTTTACCTGGAGGTCTGGTGGCGTTATTCAAGGAAGATCCGAGCGTATCGCTGACGTCTGTGGTCGTGGAGCTGGACGCACCCAGTAGAGAAGCGCGATTGGCTCACTTTGACCAAGTTTTTTGCTCGTTTGCCACGGCTCCGGCGGTGCAGAAGAGCAGGCGCAGTAAACGCGAGAAGCTGGCAGTGTTGCCTCTAGCTCCTCTCCCTCCAGTTGTATCCAAGATGGAACTCAGTCCGGAAGAGCAGGAGAAGCGGAGAGAGCGAGATTTGCACTTTCTTCGTGAGCTGCGGATCTTCCTCAGTCAAGTGCTTCACTACTGCTACTCGCAGAGGTTATACACTCCGTTCTACGTGCCAGTGGACCCCGTGGCAGTGCCCAACTACTATTTGATAGTGAAGCGGCCCATGGACTTGAGCACAATGCGTGACAAGCTGAACGATGAGGAGTACACGTGCTTCGAGCAGTTCATGGACGACATCCAGCTCATCGTACGGAACGCCAACGTCTTCAACCCCAAGCGCAGCCGGACGCGCCATATCGCCCACGCGGCTGGCACGATGAAGGACAACATTCTGTCGTACGCTTACAGGTTCCGGATACGTCAGGGCTACGACTTATTCGCCAAATGCCGCGATGTGACCAAGAGACTACGCGCGCATCCCGAAATGTACGGGGAGTACGGTCAGCGGTTTTTGAAGACTGGCAAGAACCAGCGCAAGAAGCACCTACGAGCTCTCGAAAAGCCTAGTGTGCGTATCAGTGCACGGCTTCGAGGCGTTAAGGCTCCTGATGTCAGTATGGATGCAGCTATTTCACACGGGACGGAGAGCAGCTCAAAGGCTGTCAGCAACGGTGTGAAAGAGGAACCAGCGACTGAGGTGCAGCGTGGAGAAGTCAAGTCGAAGGGAGAAATGCCAAAGCTTCAGTCTGCTCAGCAATGGTTTGACGAGGAAGAAGAAGGGGGCCAGGAGGAGAATAAGAGCGATGAAGAGGGATCAACCGAGGACAAGGCCGACAACAAGACTAACAAAGACACTGATGAAGAGGCGGAAGAAGTGTATGAAGAGGGAGATCGCATCTTTGTGAGCAGTCGGACGCACCCAGGGATCAATCGTGAAGGTGGCGCTGCTGTCGTGCAGAGTCGCAATAAGGACGGCACGTACAACGTCAAGTACATTCTCGGCGGCAGTGAGAAGTCCGTCAGCTGCAAGTATGTGGGACGGTTGACAGATGACGCAGTGATGGAGTCGGTCAAGACCCAGCGGTCGGTGGCAAATGACTCGGATGGAGTGGGCACTGTGCGTCTCATTCAGGACGAGGAGAAGATGGACGAGACCGACTACTTCGACGAACTGCTGTGGCCTCTTTTGAAGGAGGAGGGATGGAGACGCGACGACAATTTCGACATCATTGAGGCGTCGGGGAAAGAGTCTGGGCTGGCTGTACAGCGCGTGGTGTTTACCCCGGCCAAGAAGCGCCATGGCGAGAGTGTGACACTGAACAGTGTGGTGGAGGCGCTGCAGTATATCGACGAGGACCCGGAGCTCTCCTTAAAGTTATTCGGCCAACGTTTTGCCGAGCGTATGATGACCGAGGAAGTGCTTGGCGAGGGCGAGAGCAGTGACGACGAGGCTGTGGAGGTGGAGGGGGCGTCTGCAACTGGACATAAAATGGTGGCAGCTGAAGGAAACAATGACGAACCGATGCCTGAGGCGGAGCAGGAGGAGCAGGAAACCCCAGAGTTTATTTATGAGGAGGCTCGGATGACGGCAGTCTTGACGGAGCTGGTGGACAAGACGACGAATTGGTCGGTTGACAAGCTGCGCCACGAGCTGCTGATGTTGAACAAGCTGGCGTACCCGTTCCGCAACAGTTTTGACCGCATGGAGCTGATGACGGTGCGTACTGCAGCAACAGCAGTAGCTGCAGACAAGTGGAAACTTACACTAACGAATTCTTGGCTTTTTGGCTCTGTAGCTCATAGAGGCGCATGTGGCAACGTTGCAGTGAACAGGTCGCAAATGACATGGCAGAACAGCAGCACAATTTTAATCATAGATTTGCAGAATGAATTCTTAATGGGAGTGAGTGCTGCACCCACCTCGTGCACATGGGACAGTGCCCTATTTTTCTAGAAGCCTTGATATCCACATCCGGCTTGCGGGTATACCCCGTGTAGCGTATACTTTTTTCTCCCCCACTCAGTTTTGCAGCGTGGGCAAATCAGCAGCAGCCAGGAAGCCATGGCGCCCGACCTGCGCGTCAAAGCGGCGGTGCGACCGCCGCGCCACGGAGGAGAGGCGAGTGATAGTGAAGAGGCGGTCGACAGCGACGAGGAGTGGTTCGACTCGTCAGCGGAGTCGTCGGGTACCGGCAGCTCCACGTCCAAGCAGCGTCGATCGGATGCTTCCAACAGTCTCCAGACAATCCAGAGCGGTGAACAGCCAGTGGTAATAGCTCCGTCGCTCGAGAAGAACGAGTTTAATTCCTGGGGCGCCGTAGACGCGTATCTGAAAGTCTATTTAGCCGAGACATACCAGGTAACGTTTGATGCACTGCATATGGTAGCCGGAGCCGTATCGCATTATCTAACTGGTTTGTGCGTACAATTGCTGCGTACAAAGCTTCCGCGTTCGCACTAACAACAAGGTCATGACGAAAAATAAGAAGATTCGAGACTCCGGGTCTACAAAGCCGCTTGTGCCCGAGGGGTGGACTCATTACTCGAAGACTAGTCGGCACCCACGCAGGGAGGTACAAGCCGCGTGGACAAGGCAAGAGAAAGCGGCAAGAGTCGAGAGCTCTCGAGTGTGACGCGCAGGTGTGTGTGACGCTCAGTCGGGCTCAGTTGGGCTCGGATGAACTGAAATGGATTTGAATGGTGTTGTTGGTTGGTCATGCAGTTGCTCACGTACAATTGTATCGCTCCGTAGATCAATGCCTGCGTACAAGTGACCGACTCGGCTGCAGCAGCTCCTACTTTTGTGCTGCGAATTACTGTTGCCCGTTTGGAGCATAACCATCCGCTCACCAGACATACTTTCGACCATTATCCACACAACCGGACAGCTATTGAGTCTGAGCTTGCGGGGACTGTTAGATTGTCAAAGCCAGAGCCAAGAAGAAACGCATCCTGCAGTTCATCCACGAGAACTCTAGCTGCTACCTAACGAGCCAGGACGTACATAATCTGGTGCGCAAGCTGAAGAAACAGACCCATACAGCTCAGACATCTGCAAAACGATTGAAGCAATGGATGACTGAGTTCACGCAAGAGCTAGGAAATGTTGGAGGCATTTTTGTCGACTCCATCCATGATAAGGTATGAACACTATTGCTGTTACTGTGTAACCATCGTTTGTTTAGCTTTTTATGCTGATGTTAGAATGTAGCTACATGTATAACACTGCAGACAAAGCATATGCAGGAGCTCTTCGACCGTTTCCTAGAGGTCGTGATGATCGACGCCACGCACGGTACAAACTTGCCAAAGTACAAGGTTTTCTCGATTATGGCACACGACGCATTTAAAAGGGCCAGTTCGGACAGCATGCTGTTCTCCAGAACAAGCGTAACCCAACGCTTCTGACGGCCCTGGAGCAGTTCAAGCGCTACAATCCGGCGTGGACGCGCATCAAATGCATACTGATCGACAAAGATTTCGGCGAGATCGGCGTGTTAAAGAAAACGTTTCCGGACGCGACGTTGCTGTTGTGCCAGTTTCACGTGTTGAAATATCTGCGAGAGCAGATAGCATCAAAAGCCTATGGGCTCAATGCTTGGCAGAAGCAGCAACTGAGCGGATTGATCAACTTGCTGGTGTACGCAAAAACGGAGCGACAATACTTGAGACAGAGATGGGCACGGATGGTGTCCAGTTGGGCATCGGTCGGACGGTGTTGGGCGCGGATGGCGAAGCGCGTGAAGTGTGCAAGCACCCGTTTGAAGCGTATTTCGTGAAAAACTGGGATAACTGTCGTCAAATGTGGTGCGTGTTTGAAAGGCAGAATGCTTGCACCCTCGGCAACAACCGTCTTGAAGCTTCGTGGAAGCAGCTGAAGGAGCTTGTGGACTCCTTCATACAAGTGGAGGAGTGCATTGTCTCGATAATGGTTTATCAAGCTCAGACAGAAAGAAAATTTAAGGACGCGGTCTACAAACTATCTGTCGTGCATCATCCGAAGTACTATCACGAGATGGGTTTTCTCTCGAAGCTGGTAAGCGAGCACGCGTGCGAGCTTGTGTACGAGCGGTACAACTTCGCGATCACCACGGCGAGGTATAATTTTCACGAGGCAGTCCCCGGAGTATACTTTATCCAGTACGATGCGGACGATGAAGAGGCATTGGATGAGCCGCATAGTGAGTACTCCGTCACGAAAACCGATTGGTCCTGCTCGTGTTTGTTCATGGCTTCACGTTTGCTGCCGTGTCGCCACGTGTTCTTCATTAGGAAGGCACCCAACTTCGAGAACGTGATTCCTACCCAGCTTCTGGATTCTCGTTGGCTACTGTCGTCGCTTCGGGTGGAATCCGAGTTGCCCCAGCTGTCAGAAGAAACGTTTCGTGTGTTCAGAGTGTTGAAGGAGGTCAATACGTGTTGGGATTCCAACTGGAAGTTCCGCGAAGCAAATTTTGTGGCAGCTGTAATTAGTGAACTCTTGAGTGGATTGGGGATGGTGGAGTACCGAGCAGCGATGAAGACTTTGCGAGATGTTGCCACCCTTTTCATGCATGGCAAGTACAGTACCACCCCCAAGGTAGCTGGTGGTCTTGAACTCGAAGACGGCTTGGGTGATGCAGAAATGAACACGACTGGTGGCGCGACTGGTGGCGTCAGTCACCAGACTAGAGACAGCGAAGTGGTGACAGAGACGATGGAGGTGGTGCAAGTTATCCCGTCTAGACAAGAAGATACTATGAGCCAACGTGTGGCGTCTGCTTCTTACGTGGAGAGCACTCAAGTATGCCCAGACCAGTCCGGCTCAGTTGGGAGCAAGACGGGCACAGATGGAGATGAGGTGGTTTAAGCTGGGAACGAGACGGGCGTAACGGGTGGTGAGTTGGTTTCAGTTGGGAACGAGACGAGCGCAGCTGGTGGTGAGTTGGAAGTGGAGACATCTCACGACAATGACAACCACAGTGCTATGCTTGCTTCAGCAAAGTTAACCGATGATTTTCAGATCGCAAGTCCCCCTAAATCCAAGGGACGTCCAAAACAAAACTCACGGGCTGTTACAGCAAAGAAGAATCAATGGTAGAGGAAGACTTGGAAATGCACGAGCGCCAAATGAGTCTACTGACAGTTTATGAACTACTGGATGGGGATCCTATTTACAAGTTGACACACGAGAAGATGCTGCAGTTCAAGGAGTTCCTGTTCGCCACGAATCTGAAGCCTCCATTCGCCCACGAGATAGCGAAGCCCCCCCCCACAAAACCACTGATGCGACCAAAAGAAGTGATGCAAATCTTCCCCATCCAATTAATTAGCAAATGTATCTCCAAGGTCACAGCCTACCAAGCAAAAACCGGGGAACGTTGGAAATGCAGCTGGCGCTGGAGATTGTTGGCGTTGGCGTGTTCGCGAGCTCTACGGTATCGCTCATGAGAAAGTGGCACACCGCAGTAAAATTCGTCAAGAAAATCAAAAGAGCTATAACCTGGATAAATCGATTAGACTTTGCGCAGCACGGGAAATCTAGCTTCTACGTCAAGGAGGATACCACTATACCGAAGCTATTAAAAGATCTGCCAATTCTGTCGAACGAGTATGCAGACATGGTGGACCTGGCTTCGAAGGAAACCCTTAGCGCCCAAGTCATGCAGATGATTCTACACAAACTGTTTGGTGCGGATCCTAGTGTTCTAGTGATCGACCCGTCTAACATGGGAATTTCAAATGGAGCTTTAGCGACAGACATCAGGTATTTTAAACTGGCGTTGGCTGGAGTCACGAATAATATGAAAGTGCTGTTTTCAATCAACTGCAACAACAGCCACTGGTGCGCTGTGCTAATGAATTTGGAGAAGGACAGAGTGCACGTCTACGACTCGATGGCGTCCTCCTACATGATCGGTGTTCGTGCCGTGGCACAGAAGATGATCATGATGCTGCCAGACGGAGTCAGACCTAGTGCTCGTTTGGTGACTCACGACCCTGGACTTGGCGTTCAGTGCGACAGCTATAATTGCGGTGTGTATGTCTTGCTGGCATTTGAGATGTTCTGTGGGTCAGAGCCGCTCGGACACCTCGACAAGAAGACTCTGCAATGCATGCGCTACCGCTACTTGCGCATGTGTATAGAAGAACAAGGAAGTAGCAGTAGCTAAGTCACTGAACTCGTTGCATCGAACTATGTTTGTTGAGTTATATGCTTGATAATGTCTTTAGTAATTGAAGGGGATAACCTGCTCAGCAGGATGCTTCTATCTCTGCGGACTCTGGTACTGTCACTGAACTCGTTGCATCGAACTATGTTTGCTGAGCTTTATGCTTGATAATGCTTTAGTAGTTGAAGGGGATAAGCTGCTCAGCAGAATGCTTCTTCCTCTGCGGACTCTGGTACTGCCGATGTTGATCCACTCCGGCTCTTTGGCATCTTTCGGATATACGCGTATAGTGTATACGTTTTAGGCCGGTTGGGTGCTGAAGTGGGCACAGGATGGGTGTCTGACGGTCACAACTGGGTACGGGTGGGTGCTGGTTTGGTGTCGCAATTCTGTCGTGTCCCGTCCCATGTGCAAGAGGTGGGTGCAGCAACAAGTGCCATTCTTAATACCCATGGAAGAGCGAAATCACGGAGCGATCAATGACTTGTGTCGGGATATCGTATCCTGAAGTGGCAACGCTGAAGTAGCGGCATCTAATTGGCCATAAAGTAAATTTCGAAGGATTTAAATATCACAATTGATGTCAAACGTGCAGATGTGACCAGCCGACCGCTGGTTGATATGCTCCGCAGAGGTCGACTCCGATGCTAGCTCGATGTGTCACAAGCCGCTCAAGGTGAAAACAAGAATTCTCTCCTCTTCCGCTGCCACTGCCGCACAAGACGACACACAGAAGTTATCTCTGCCGCACAAGACGACGCACAGAAGTTACCACTGCCCGGCAGGGCGGTAGGTACGCTGCCATTTTTCAGCTCAGAACAGGACGGCCGCAATCCCAGGGAGCTAATAGAGAAGTCCTTCCTTTTCAGATACCTCGGACCATGATCTATTGACTGTTTCCTCTTTGTTTCATTCTGCAAAATGAATTGATCGTGCCAGCACATCATCACTTTGCGGGTACAGTGAAAAGTTTTCACTGAAAACTTAGAACTAACTATGCCATTTCAAAGTAGCTAAAATTGGCATCGCTAGTTGCGTGTACAATAAATTAGTCTTATGATTTCAGCTCCCTGAATAATATTTTGAGGTTAGCGATGGTATTTTGAAAAGAAGTTCCGATTTTTTTATAAAAGGAGCCCATACACAGTAAACATGATGCCGATCTGTACTGTGTATCGTTGTTGTGAGTATCTATGAAGACGTTCTTGCTGTTAAACAACGGGAACAAACGTTTGAAGATACACGATGCAAGCTACTCACCTCGCAAACAACTTGATGAATTATTAATATTAGGAGTGAGTATAAGTACTCAGGTATGTGCTAATATTCCCTCCATCATCAATTTTTTTATGACCTCTGTGCTTGGCAACAACTCTCAATAACATGGAAGAGTTCCTGGTGCCGCCGAAGAAGCATTGTGGCGCAGTAAGCATTTGGATGTTGTTCTACCGCGTTTTTAGCCAATCATGGGAATAAAATTGCTGTAACCGATTCGTGTTACGTTTGCGATAGCGATGTTACGGGAGTAGGAGAATGGGCCGGTTTGGAAATTTTGACCAACAACTATCTTGGGGGGGGGGGCAAACGACAACTGTTCCAAAAACGAAGCTGCTCGCGAATAGCTTGAACTTTGTATGTGAATCTGCTCCAAAAGACAAACTCTTTGCTTTTTGATCAGTGTTAGGGTCACATAGCCGGTTAGAGCCTTCATACTTAAGTGCGCATTTCTGTCACGAAAGGCACAATAGGGGCATACCAGGCGTAAATTGAGTAGGGTAGCCCTGATAAATTTCACTAAATATAGACAATGAAGCAAGAGCTAAGCGGCAAAAATATCGCCTAAATGGCGCTCAAATGTAACTGAACAGGAGTGGTTGTTACTGGAATGTAAGAAGAACTTGTATTTTTTAAATGCTACAGCGGCAGAGGAGTTGCCACGAGCTCCATAGCGCTCATCAACCTCGTAGCCATCAAGAAAATGTTGCTAACCATCCACTGACCCAAATGATCGGGTATCACGACCATTTACACCCTACCGGTAAACACCACGACCAGCAACACACGCCTGGGTACAACCTTCACGGGCTCCATCATGCTCGAGACCACGCTCATCGTCGTGCGCAGCCCAACCAGAAGTAGAACCAGGTCTGCCAGTAGTGGAAAATGAGCGCCATTGTCGTCCCCTCTTCCACATCAACCTGACCTCTTTGTGTGCACTGTCGAAGCAACAATAAAGAAGCAAGGGGTAGTAAAACTCAGCCATTTTTAAGTGTTTTTTTTACAAAGTATTTCTAAACATGTAGTGTCTTCAGTAAACACCGCATTCGAATGTAACGTAGAAGCCATTGGAAGGCTAGGTTGGTAAGACTATTCCTCGCACAACGTACTAAACAAAATAAAGAAGCACTTACGGGCCACAGCTGTGACTATTCAGTTACTTCAAATCACCCCGTCTGAGGATGAAGCCACCGTGCTTATGTAGCTTCATGTTGTTATGTGAGCCTCATCACTGGAGCATTCACTTGACATCTTCGCGCCGATAGTTGGGGGGGTTGGAGGGGACATCCTCCCTACTGGGACTCATAATTACTTCATTTGTAGGCTGTAGCGACGATATCTGTGAGAATGGATCGAGTGCAGACAATCCTTCCGACCAAACAGTAGCGTCGAGATAAACGAAACATCACCATCGACAACAATCTCCTCAAAACGTTTTTTAGGCTGCCACTATCTTCGTGAAAACCGGAGTACCGACAAGACTCATGATATCGGCAATACGCGTCGCAATATTATGCAATACTCGAAATTTGTTCGTTCCATTCAGGACATTGTGCCGAGACGCCGTTAGGGAAGATTCATTTACTCGAAACGAGCTACACGCAGCCTCATCACCAACAGACTCATCTTCATTGACCGGGATATTGAGTGGGCACGAGAGACTCCATCGGGGATGTATATGTTTCACCGGAATCGTGCTTTTGTTAAAAATGATGCACCAATAGATGATGTGGCGACAGGACAATAGCTTCGTTCTCATGAAAGTACACGAGCATCTGTAGGCCTATGAAATCAAAATTTAAGTGAATTGTCAAATTAACCGAAGTGATTGTAAGTAATAAACGTACATTTGTGTCAACACGATGTTTGTGATTAGGTTGGGCCAGTGATGTCAGTTCAAACACGTGGTCTTGCAACTGCACGATGTTAGACTGCGCCTTTCGATGGTTTGCGACGCGGTATTGTTTCTCCACAAGCTGATACGCGTGTTTGCTAACCTCTTTCGCCAACGTCTTCAATTTAGCGTCTGCGCCACTGTAACGCATGTATCCCACATCCGTCATCCGCTTTGTATATTCCATTTCTGCGATTTACTGCAAAACCAACAATGTATCGACACACTCGTCGAGCATCATGGTTGGCTTCAGTACGTCTTTCAAATGGCCGCAAGCTGCTTCCAGACTAACCAGTTTATGCAGATTAGCAAGGTCCAACGGTATCTTTGTTGCTAAGTAGATCCATACCGAGTATTGCAAAATGGGGAGCGTCTACACGTCCGAACACGCTCTGCATCTTTCTGCACTGGTGTCAGTTTGCATGAAAATACTTCAAAAATGCATGTTCAGGCTCTGGGATTTCTTCAGCTTGTAAACTTTGCTTGCCTTCCACGACGTAGTACAAATACTTTCTACAAGTATCGTATTCAGCCTCGGTCTGCGCACTCAAGATCATGTGTACAGTATCTTCAACTTTATCACGATCCAGCACACCATAATCCTGCTTCGCCACTTCGGTTCGAAGATACTTCACGACGTGAAACACGCACAATATAATTCTAACACCAGGAAAGGCACCACACAGCAGCGATATCTCCTCAAAAGCTTTGTCCACGATGATGACCCGAATTTGCTCCCGCGTTGGGTTGAATGACTCAAATGAAGTAATCACGTCAGTAAGACATTCAGTACTCTCATTTTCCTTCAGCGCATGCTGCACATATTGTCCCTTTTTAAAATTACATAGTCACAATTCAGTCACACCTCCGCACTATAGTCACAATACAGTCACACCGCCACGCAATAGACCGCACAATAAAACAGACACAAGAAACCACAAATAGTTAGACAACAGGTACACAGGAGTCAGCCTCGCAACGGAAGCATAGGTACTTACATGACCAAATACGTCGTGTATCATGAAGCTGAACAGCTTATAGCGGGCGTCATTAGTGCTGTGGGTTGCGTCGGTCATAACCACATCTGGGATTGCTTAAAAAACCTTTCGCAATTGGTGCGTTTGGAAGCAAGCGTCTGGGCCAATTTGTCGTCATATACATAGATAGTTGCAGTGTTTTTCTATCATGAACCCCAGAAGTAGCGTAAAACCGACTTCAGTCGCTCTTCAACAGTAGTTGAGCCACGACGAGCATCCTTCAGCTTCTGAACGAGGTTGTGTACACCACGTAGCGTAACTTTCTTCTTAATTTACGCCGTATCAGACACGAATTAGAAAAACTCGGCTTCGAATAACATACTATAAGGAGACGTACCTGTCTTTCTGGGTAAGGATTCCAGCTTCTTTTTCGCCCCCGCCATTTGGAGCTCGCCCGCGAAGCTAATCACGTCTGCATCGTCAACGCGGCGGTTGGTCGGGTCGTTTTCGAACGACGTCGCACCCAATCCATGGTTGTGCGATGTGCTTTGCTGAGTCATATTCACTCGGAATCCCATATCAGCCACCCATACCACCGTGACAGAAAGTTGTGCTTCGCATTTGTGGATTTCACGAAGTAGTTTTTGCGCGTGCCCGTAGCGCGGCTTGGACGCCTCCAACCTCCGAAAGGTTAACCGAATTTTCTACTTGGACGGCTACACCCTAGCGTCTCTCAACTCTCAAGATCCCATCCCAGGAGGCGGCAAGTACGACGAAAAGGAAAACAAAGGCAAGGGAGCTCACCCGCAGGGCAACCCTACGGCCAGATCCCAGATCTAGGCCCTGGATCCACAAGCTCGCATATTCACTTAGGATTCAGAAACAACTACGGACGCAGAGTGAAGAACTTACCACTACTGCTCCACCCCATCCCCACGTCTTGCCAAGACACTCAAGCCTCACCACTTAAACTCTTCGGAAGTTACCGAGAGAGCAAGATCCCGCCCTACCGACGGGTACACGAGATGAGGAAAGCTCAGCAGAATACGGATCATCGGGGGACCCCCTCCGTTAGTCGGTGTCTGGGCGCAGTTAATAAGTTGGATCCAGCAATCTCGCAGATTTTGCTGATCCCGCTACATCACAATGGTGCGCGTGCCCGGATCTTTTGGTGACTCGGGATTTCACCGTGAGTCCTAAGAAGGGCTCACGTGAAGATTGAGCGAGGGGAAGAGGCGTCATCGGAGGTCGGATCGACGAAGACGCTGCTGAATGAAGCAAGATCCGCGGGTCGATGGAGTCCTGGGGGAAACTCTGTCGACGGAAGAGAGGTGGATCCGGATCTAGAAGAGAAACCTCTCTATCCTTCCCAGGTCCCCTCGGGGTCCCCCTGCAGATCTTGACGCGAGTCAAGATCCGCTAACAAAACAAAGGAAAGTGAAGGCGAAACGGTATGCATTTGCAGATTCGCCGGTCAAGCCAACACCGTACCTAAACCCAAGCCCTCTAGTCGAAAAGACTGGGCGAGAAAGAAGACCGATACGAGTAAGACTACGCGGAAGGAAATGCAAGCTCCAGAGTCGGAAGAAGACCAAGCTGGATCCAGGTCAAGCTGGTCGGACAAGGAGCTCGAGTTCGTATATCGCCACCAAGATCTACGATTCCTGTATCAAGATCCTGTCATGCGGATCCTGAATCCACGACAGATCGAAGTTCCAAGGGAACCGGTGAGAGCACCAACGAAAACGGCGAACAAATTAGTGGCAGTCAAGGATCTATTACGTCTGCTTACGGATTCGGGCATCGTGGTTGGTGCGTTCGATGCAGAGGATATCTCCGAGTTATACTTGGATCGCATAATATTGGCGACGCGGGAACCCTTCGTCAGAGTCAAGCCCATCGCAGGAGAAAAGTCGCACACTATGGATCCAGTGTCGTCGCCGAGGATCAGCCAAGCTGCGTCCTCGAACTACGAATCTGCCGCTGAGGATGGGTCAGATACGTCTTCCGAAACGCGACGCATGACCTTAGGCCCCTCTGGGGCATCCATACTGGAAGCGCAGGCGAGGGTCCGGGGTCAGGGGGTGTGAAGACTCGGAATCCAGGGCGCCATACCCGTGATCTGATACCATCCAACCAGGATTGAGCCAGATCCAGCAAGCAGCCAGGGGGATTATCGTCAGATTGAGTTCAAGGTAATCGCCTCACGGATTCTGCCTCGCCAGTGGACCAGACGGCCACCGGCGCTTCCGACACTTCCTCGGGCACCTTGCAACGACACTTCGAAGCTGCGATGAGTCGTTTCCTGGCCGAACAAGGCATGAGAGCGCCCAAGCCGCAAACGCAATGGTTCCATGAACATGGAGCACGAGACGTAGAAATGGAGTCAGTGGAGGGAGACAACTCCCATGATGAGCTCGACCCAGATGATCTGGACGTCCCATCACCCTCGCCAGCGGCGGTAGCAACAGCGGCAGCCGGGACGGATGGATCGTCTATGATCCAGAGGGTACGGATATCAGCCATATCGGATCTGAAGAAGCTCACGGGCAAGGATCAAGACGAAGACCGAGCGCGAACATGGATCAGCAAAGTCAAGTCGGCTCTCATGAGAGATCAAGCGTCTAATACTGAAAAGTGTCTGACATTTGCGGACCTGCTAGCGGGGCCAGCCAGAAATAGGTATCGACAGCTGGGCAAATCCACCAGGAACAAGTGGCCGGATTTGCTGCGCAGTTTGCAAACGCAATATTGCGGATTGAGGGTGTCGGTAGCGCGACAATACTACCCTGTTCTCAGCTGATCGGATGAATCTCCGCTGGAGTATCTTCATCGGCTAAATGTGGCCGG